TGAGGTATCTTCGTAATGACCTTATTATTATATATCTTTTCCTACCAAGGATACATCATGGGAATGCCGAAATCCAAAAAGTTTAGAACAGAATCAGCGAACTTCTTTGTATGAAGTCCGGTCAAATCCTGGTGGCAGCCATGTTTGTTTTTATTAATATAGGATGCTTACGCGCGTAATTATTCCATATTTGGAATTCGCATTTCCTAATATGGTAGTATGAAAATACCCCGTAAAATACCGCAAAATTACGGCACGCTGTAACTTATGGCGTTACGGTGACAGATGTATAATAATACAAATTATGTTTCGTTGCTGTTACCTAATTCATTATTGCTATTGAGTCGCGCCCTCCAGCGGCGAAGCTTTTATGGACGTCAACATGACATGGACAGGTGGAGACACGGTCATGCAAATTGATAGATGTTTCGTTGAACAGCCATCTGCAATTTAGAATATAGTATTTTTTTTTTACAAAACAGTAATTGGTGTTGACGAACCTCCAAGATAAGAACTACCAGTACATAGACGGCCTCAACAGCGCCCTCACATCCATTTACGTCGTGAACGCCCTGTCACTGGAGAGCGCGACTTAAAGGTTTATTTCTCTTACAGCTACTAATGTACATTTTGACTGAAAACGAGAAATACAGGACGGATTTCTCGAATTATCTTGACTCATGGTTACCTGGCGGCAAAATGCCATACACACCAAAGGGGCTGGTTTATCGTAGTGACTGGGGTCCACTCAGATATGCAGGTAAGCAAAGAACTGGCGTGTCGGAAATTGTCTGTCGAAGATTCCTGTTCTCAGATGTCTTCCCAATAATCGAATTAGAATATTTATTATTTGTTTTAATTTTTTAGCTTCTAACTCGTTCCTGGCTCTTCTCGCCTCTGATTATGGCGTAAATCCTCGAAATTATCGAGAGTTTGCGAAAAAGCAGTTACATTATATTTTAGGCGATTCTGGTCGTAGTTTTGTCTGTGGTTTCGGGAAAAACCCTCCAAAAAGTCCACACCACCGAGCAAGGTAATCATTGCAATACAATCTCTACAGTCAGTCATCGTGTACGTAAGCAAAGTGTCAAATAAACTCAGTTTTGTGTCAATGAATACAAACATGTCAAGTACCAACCAGCCTAGATATAGATTACACTATTTTTACCTTAAAATAGAAATCATAACTTGTTAGGTCGAAATTCCATTTTACTAATATGTTGTTAATTACGATTTTATTGACGTTCGTTATACTCCAAGTTCCTGCCCACTACCACCGCATACAACGAGAAGAGCCAACCTTCTGGCGGACGAACCCAACCCGCATACGCTGTATGGTGGTGTAGTTGGTGGTCCCGGCCCGTTAGATAACTATGTCGACGACAGGAGAAATTATAAAATGAATGAGGTGGCGTGTGATTACAATGCTGGTTTTCAATCCGCCATAGCAGGTAGGTTTTTAACTATGTTTACATCCGACGACGTATGTATTACTGTGATGAAAATATCAGTAGCTGTGACGTCACTATCTTTAAATTTTATTTTGGTGTCGAATAATACATGCCAATGATTATTTCCTAGTCCATCGTATTATTTGTAACGTGAAGTGATCGTAGTGGGAATTCCCTTGCAGTGTCAAGGCTTACTGGTTACAAATAAAAGTTATTTTCATCTGTGTGCGTAATAATATTTGATTGCGCAGTATCTGCATTTCATCAGCGGTAGTTACCATGTACAACGCCCTCTAGCGACAACGTTTTTTTTTGCGACGATGAAATTACATATTAATGAGTGAGGGCAACGTAGCTCAGAGCAACTGTATTTGGCTGTGTAGTGTATTTTTTTTATTTTCAAATACAATTTATAACTATAAAACCGTACTTATGCGTTCACATCACCGGAATAGAAAATCGGAGATATCGCAAAATTCAAATTACTATATATCAATTAATATATATCATCAAATACAATAAGCTAATTACTTTGTTTGGGTAATATAAATTTGTTTATTGAAATATCTCTTTTGTTTTTAGGTTTAAAGCACCTGGAGATAACCGGACAACCTTTTTGAAGTAACATTTGAAATTTAAGCGTATACTAGTATTACATTTATTTTGCTATAACTCTTGTACATTTTGTTATTATTTTGCTATTATGATATATCGACCTGTATTTGTTGCACATAGTAATGTAGTATACAATGTCTGTGAGTTTTGTGAAATACTTTACTTGTTTCATTATCTGCAATTTATGCGCATTACCACAACAAATATTTTTGAATGTGATTCACACTGAACGTGTAAGCTAGTAATTGGAGTGGTTGCTTCGAATATGACAGTTCAAATTACATACATAATTCAATTTGAACATTAATGTAGCAAGATGTTATGTTGAACTATGACCCGCCCTCATGAATATTAGGTAGCTCAACTACTGCGCATGTTTTCGGTGGTGAGCCAGTGATGGTCACAGCATGGTCTGTTTTTGTTTACTTACTATACAGAATAAATTCAGTGAGTTACACGTAAGGTCTTCAGTTATTCATTCATGCAAACAGCATTATGAAACATGGTGTCAGAAGTGGTTGTTATTTGCCATAACTAAGGACATTTGATCCACGTAAACGGAAGCAAGACTGATCTTACCGGCGACCGGAGATTGACAGTGAACGGACGACGGCAGTTCAGCGACGTCAAGTTTGACAGAAACACATCAGATTTCTCAAAATATCTGTGAGTAAACCGACTTTTATGAGCACTGAGAGTCGTAATTAAATACGTGTTGATGAATCACTGATGAATTATTACTGTGTACATCTTTTGAAGCGGAGCAACGTCTTTTAAAAAGATCGTGTTTCAAAAAGTACGGTGGCCCAGAAGTGCAAAACCTTAGTCGACCGAAATAGAAGTACGGTGGCCCAAAGAACAAGATACAGATTCGAATTTTGCAATTTTCCACTACGTTGTTGTTACGATACACAACATGGAGAACATCAAGGCACCAGATAAGCTTGATGTGAACGCCAACAATTTAGCATTGGTGTGGAAGAGGTGGAAAGAAGAGTTGACACTTTATACAGAGCTAGTGTTAACAGAAACACAAGAAAACAAGAAATGCAAATTATTTCTATATCTCATCGGAAAAGAAGGAAGAGAGATATATGAAGCAATGAAATTTGAGAAGGAAGAGAAAGATCTCAAGTTGGAAGACTTAATTAAAGCTTTGGATGATGCAACCCGAAGAAGAATTAAACAGTAGAGAGATACAAATTCTTCACTAGAAATCAAGAACCACATGAAGGGCTTGACAAGTACATAACAGATTTAGAGGTTCTTGCAGCAACATGTAATTTCAGTACATTACATGACTCTCTCATCAGAGACAAACTGGTTTGTGGTATTGGTGACACCAGACTCAGAGAAAGACTGTTGAGAGAAACGGATTTACATCTACACAAGTGTCTTCAGATCTACAGAGCTTCTGAACTGTCTAAAGAGAAAATCCGAACTATAGAAGCCCCTGTAGTTGTCCATGCAGTGAGACAGTCACATGATAAAGCACAGAAGTCATTCAAGAAGACATCTAGTGTGCCGTCACAGAGTTGCAAATACTGTGGCAAGAAACGTGACCAGGATAAAAACAAGTGTCCTGCCTATAGAAAGCAATGCCATAACTGCAAAAAAATGAATCACTTTGCTGCACAGTGCATGCAGAGTAAGCACAAACAGAAAGCAAAGTATAATATAGCAGAAAGCAGTGACAACGAGTGTGAGGAAATACAGTTAGTCACGTTATTACCAGAAAACCAATATGTCAATAGAGTGACTGAGAGGAGTTTTCCCAAGCAAATACATGCTGCAATGAACATTAATAAGAGACCAGTCAAGTTTCAGCTTGATTTGGGAGCATCATGCAACATCATTCCATTAAAGGAACTAGGCAATGTGAATGATTACGAATTCATGAAGACAGATAGAGTACTAGTGATGTACAACAAGGCAACGATGAAGCCTAAGGGACAGACCAAAGTCAAAATGGTCAACCCAAAGAATGGAAAGAAATACAGAGCAGAGTTTGTAGTAGTTGACAATGAGACAAACATACCATTACTAGGAAGTAGTGCTATTCAACAAATGGGACTACTTAAGGTACAACATGAACAAATCATTGTTGTTAATGACAAACCAACAGCCAAGATGAGACTACCAGTACACCGAACTGACAAGAAAACCGATACGAAGCCAGTGTCAGCAGAGCAAATAGTCAAAGAGTTTCCAGACGTCTTTGAAGCTACAGGTAAATTAGCAGGAAAGTACCACCTTAAGTTAGACCCAAATGTGCAACCAGTCATTCATCCTCCAAGGAAAGTACCTGTAGCAGTCAAAGGCCAGCTAAAGGATGAACTAGATAGACTAATAGAAAAAAATAATAGCACCAGTTATAGAGCAAACACCCTGGCTGTCTAGTCTAGTAACAGTAATCAAGCCAGGCAAAATGAGAATTTGCATTGATCCTCGTGACTTGAATACAGCACTACGTAGAAGTTATTACTGACTATAGAATACATATTACTAGAGCTGAGCAAAGCTAAGGTGTTTAATGTTTTGGATGCCAAGGATGGTTTTTGGCACATTGAGTTGGATAAGGAGAGCTCTTATCTAACTACATTCAATACACCATTCGGTAGGTTTAGTTGGTTACGAATGCCCTTTGGTATATCTACAGCGCCTGATGAGTACCATCGTAGACAAGACTAAGCTATTGAAGGATTGCCAGGTGTGAGGTCCATAGTCGATGACATACTGATATTTGGTGAAGGAGAGTCAGTGAGTGAAGCCACGATAGACCACGACATAACTGATGAATCGATGCAGAGAGCGCAATCTGAAACTGAACAAAGACAAAATCAAATTGAGGTTGAGTCAAGTTCCATTCATTGGACACCCCATAGCTGATGAAGGTCTAAAGCCAGATCCAGCAAAAGTGAGAGCTGTGACTGAGATGCCAAGCCAAAAGATGTGGCTGGAATTCAGAGATTCCTAGGATTTGTCAACTACCTGAGTAAGATTCTACCAAAACTTAGTGATATCTGTGAGCCGCTCAGAAAGCTAAACACAAAGATAGTGAGTGGTGTTGGTTGAAAGTCCATGATGATACAATAGATGAAGTGAAACGGTCAGTCACTTCTTATCCAGTGCTACAATACTATGACATGGATAAAGAACTAACCTTGCAGACAGACGCATCACATACCGGTTTAGGTGCAGCCCTAACCCAGAATGGCCAGCCAATAGCTTTCGCAGGCAGGGCATTAATGGATGCTGAGACGAGAAATGCTCAAATAGAGAAAGAGTTGTTATCAGTTATTTTTGGATTAGAAAGATTTCACCAGTATACCCATGGCAGAAAGGTCCATGTACAGTCAGATCATAAACCGCTGGAGATGATCCTGAAGAAGCCTCTTCATAGTACTCCAAAGAGACTGCAGAGAATGATATTGAGACAGTGAACATGTTAGATTATTTACCGATTGCAGAACCGAGAAAAGATGATATCAGACAACACACAGAAAGCGATGAAAGCCTTCAGATGTTGACTAAAGTGATATAAACTGGATTTCCAGAAAGTAAGGCCCAGTTACCTGCACAAATAACTTCTCAGAATGGTGTAATATTCAAAGGTGAGCGAGCAGTAGTACCACGTTCACTAAGAGATGATATGTTAAAGCGTATTCATTCATAACATATTGGTATTGAGGGATGTCTACGCAGAGCATAAGAATCATTGTACTGGCCAAACATGAGTGCAGAGATCAAAGATAACATTGCAAAATGTGATGTG